CTGGAAGCCGAAGCCGCTGTAGAAGTCCCGCAGCCCCGGCACGTCCTTCAGGGCCAGGGTCAGGTAGCCGTGGCCATGGACGCTGACTGAGCGAGCCACCTGTGAGGGACACCACGGAGACCAGGTGAGAGCCTGGTCCCGGCATCGCAAAGGAACTGGGAGGGTGACCGGTTGCTCAGGTCCTCGCTGGGTCTGGCCGGCCATGCAGAGCACCTTACCACGGCCCCTCCACACCGAGGTCCTGGGGGCTTGTGCTCAGCTCCGTGGGACCAAGGTGAGCGGGGCCCGTGCTGGGCTCCCTCCCCCCAGCAGGTCGGCCGGGCTGCCCGGGCCTCGTGCTCACCAGGAGGTCGGAGGTGCAGCCGTAGCTCACGCCCACCGTGCTCATGCGCTTCAGGTCGACGTATTTGCCGAGCGCCTTCAAGCCCTTCATGCAGCCCCGGATGGACCCGCCCGTGGGGAAGAGTGCTTTCAAGCTGCAGGAGAAGGAGCTGGTGTTACCAGGCCAGCCCCAGGCAGGACCCAACCCTGGGCAGGAGCTGGTCCTGCAGCCCTTGAGACAGAGTGTCCGGGAAGGACCCATGATGGCCACGGGTATCTCCAGTGCCTCAGGCACAAGGCTGCTCCAAAACACGCAGCACGGCTAAGGAGGACTCAGTGACACCCACCAGCACGTCATCCCTCACTAGAGATGGAGATGTCCCTTCCTCAAGCCCATAGTGATGGGCAGAAAGAGAAAATCTCCCCCCTGGAGCTCCATCAGGGCACCAGCATCCCTGAAAGTAGCTGGAAAAGGGCCAGGGCCACCCCTAGGGACACTGGAGAGGAAGATATGGGCTGTCCCACCCCACCGTGGGCTGGACTCACCTGGGGGGCAGCACATCTGGGGGCACACCACCCAGGTAGTAGGAGACAGCGTTCTCCAGGGTGTTCTCCTGCTGCACCATGAAGATGGTGAGGCGTGCCAGCCGCACCAGGATGCGCTTCTTGTTGTTCATTTTGAGGAGGAAAATCTGGATCTGGAGACAGGGAAGAAAAACAATGCACTAGTTTGGGGCAACTAGGTCCACCACAGCACAACATGTCTGGTTTGTGGCTCTAACGAAATAATTTCTTGCAGCTTCCCCCCCTCCCCATGGCTGAGGAGCCCCCAAGAGAGCCGGGCAGGTGGCTCTGCCCCTCTTACCGCTTTGTCCGAGGTGCTGCTGATGGTGAGGGAGGAGTTGCTGCTGGGTTTTGCCATCTCCAGGCCAGTGTTCAAGTCATAGTAAAGCACCAGCTTCCCATCCCGTATAGCCAGACACAGGAACTGACCCTGGGGGAGGCAGGATGGACACTCAGCCCCACATCCTAGTGTCCAGCATCCAGCTGTGGTGCTGAGCAGGTTCTGCTGTGGGTGCCTGGATGCATTGCTGTGACAACCACTGGGGACTTCTCTGGAAAAGCAGCCCTGTGCTGGGGCACAGAGATGGCACCACAGGCTGCAAATGCTCCTGGCAGCACCACCTGCCCCAGTGAGCCCTGGCCTGGCTCGGGGGATCTGAGCGTGGGTGCTCTCTGAGTTCAGGGCAGGCCCTCCGGCACCAAACACGCATTGCTTCTGCTGCCAGGGCTGGGCTCAGCCCTCTTGTGGCTTTTAACAATACTGCAGAAACGCTGCTCCAAGCAGCAGAGCCACCTCCAAAGCCCTCTTCTCCCCGGTGCGCTGAACTGGGAATGCCTGCAAAAGGGGCTGGGGTTGTCCTAGCACACTGGCTGAAGACTCTCCAGGGGAGCAAGCACCTACCTGGTTCTCCAGGAAGAAGATGATGCCGTTGTAGGAGACCACCCTGATCTCCTGCTCGAAGCGCTTGGTTGTGCCGAACTGGCTCTCAAATTTGATCTCTGCGTAACCGGTGCCGTCAAAGTAGGAGCCGTCAGTCAGCCAGGGGTCTCCTGTGGACTTGGACCTGAGCCCCACGAGAAGAGCCCCAGGGCGTCACTCCAAAGCCAACTGCCACGCTCCGGGGCAGCCGAGGGCAGGGTGAGTGCCAGGGACCAGAGCTGCCCCCAGCCTGGGCACGGCCGCCTACCTCGCGCAGGGCTTCTCGGCGGTGGTGTCCAGCTGGAAGGTGTGCTGGAAGTTGTAGAGGCTCACCACCTCCTCGTTCAGCGTGTCCAGCTCCAGGCACCCGCGGTAGTTGGGGTAGCGCAGCGCGGGAGGAGGCTGCCAACGAAACCAGGCAGTTGAGGCAAGGCAGAGCCTGGTCCTCCCATGAAATGGAGGGGCTTCCCCTCCAAGAATCTCCACAGGTATCGCTGATACCTCCTAGACAACTGAGCCTCCCTCACCGTGAAGCTGGCAGGGTAGCCACCCACGTAGAAGACCACGCTGCGGGGGTCGAGGTTGAGCAGCCCCTGCTCCCCCCTGGCCACACTCTCCCCCTTGGTCTCGTGCACCGTCTGCCTCTCCACGATCACCGACATGTGCCCGTACTGCTTGCAGGATCCTGTGGCAGGGAGGGGTGGGCAACACAAAGGGAGACCCCTGAAGAGGAGCAAGTCTCGCCCTCCCCACGCAAAGAGTCCCCTCGCACAGCCCTACCAAAAAGGGGTGCCTCACCCACTGGGGGCCCCACAGCAGCAGTGCATTGGAAGGACTAAGCCCTCACGTTATCAGCACTGCCACAAGGCTGATAAGCTTCATTTTTCCCTCTCCTGCAGGCACCCCCAGACCCTTCATGACCTGCTAAGACACCATCTCCCTGATAGTCTTTTTTGTAGTATCTCGGTGTTGATCATTTAAGGGATGAGCAGATGATGGAGTCCATGGCACCTCTGCAAGCTCAGGGCCTCTCTGGGCTTGGGCACAGCACTGCCTGCATCTGCTGCAGGACCAGTCTCCTCCTGTACTTCCCCAGCATGCAGTCAATCAATCAGTCTACCTGTTGATGCTGATGGTGGCAAACTGCTCTCCAATATCCTCATCGACAGTTAGGGAGGCTGGCTCCTCGTTACCCAGTTTGTAGACCCACTGCACTCTGTGGTCCTTGAGCACGATGCCCAGGTAGTCTCCAGTGGCCTGAATGCCGGGAGAAACAGGGCCCCACGCTGGCATTTGGGACAGGCAGGAGCACCAAGAGATGCTCACCCAGATCTCCCAGGGCCGTGTTCAACCAGCACCCCATGTTAGGATATCTCGTCCCATCCACCCCCGACCAGGCTGGGGGCTGCACCCAGAGCCCCTTCGTGGTCCCCACAAAGACACTCGGGGAGCAGGCGAGGGGCTGATGTCTGGCCGTGGTCCCCCATTGATGGCACCAACGTGGGCTCCAGCTGCCCTCCCAGCCCCGACTCACCTCCCGGCTGCCCAGGTACATCACGAACCGCCCCTCCTCCGTCCTGTCCTGCCGGCGCTGCCGGCTCCTGGGCTCGGGGTTCTGGATGTAGAATTTCAGGGATGTATAAGCGGCCAAATCCTGCAGGTTGCTGGGCATCCGGACCTGCACACCCGAGCTGCCGTTGAACTTCATGGGGACCTTCACCTGGAGGGAGAGAGATCCAAGCCCATGCCACTCAAACCACCGCTGCTGCCTCGCGGTGCTGCTGGCTCTACCAAGCCAAGGCGTTTTGTGGAGCCGTCCCATGAGAAAGGGACCCTGCCTGGTGGCCACAGAGCTCTTTGAGATACCTCTCCCATCTGCACCCTCCCCACAGGTAAGCCCTCGTTGCCCCCGAACCGCTAGCACCCCGTGCACGTCCTTCACCCCCCAGGAGCCCACCTTGCTGGCGGCGTTCCTCGCCTGTGTGATGAGCTGCCGGATCCTCACGATGTTCTCCGACACGGTGGCGTTCTTGTTCCTCCTGTTCTCCAGGTTGCTCAGCTTCCCCAGCAGCAGCGGGATGGTGCTTTCCAGGCTGGACACTGGGGTTGGAGAGAAGCCAGGGGGTTTCAAAGGTTAGTGAGGAAAGGAAATGTAAAGCTCGGGTAGTTTTGAGATGTGCGAGTCAAAGCAGCAGCAGCTGGGAGCTGAGTCACAGAATGATCCCCTGAATCCTGCAGCCCTGATGGGGGGATTGTGGAAATGCCCTAGTGCATGCAAACTCCTGCAGTAAAGGTACAGGTGATATACACTGCAGGGGGAGAAAATAAATAAAGGGACAGGTCTTAACGCACCCAGCCTGCTACCTCCCTCTACTCTTGACCTGGGGCTGCAAAGCACAGCTTCCAAAAGCACAGAGCTCTCTGGGGATGTGGCCATGCACTGGTTCATGCCAGACTCATGTCAGCAGCCCAGCATGCTCAGCACTCACCAGATTTCCTGGCATCCTGGACTGCCTGGTTCAGGTCTTCATTGCGAAGGTCTCCATACTGGTCTTTCCACTCATCCAGATTCTTCTTCATGCTGCTCAGGGTATCTTCCACTCTTGCAGCTGTTTCATTGGCCTCAGCAGCTGCTTCTTTGGCATTCTGGATCATCTCTTTTGTGTCCTCTAGAAAGGAAGGACAAAAATCTCTGTGATGGCCAGGAGCTGAGAGGAAGCACCCTTGGGTCACAGCCTGGGTGTGAGGAAGGGAGCAGTCTAGCTAGCCCAGGACAAACCTTGGTCCCTGCCCAGCATGTCCTGCACAGACTGGAGCTGGCTTAGGAGCTGTTCCTTCTTTGCACGGAGGTCAGCCAGCTTCTCCTTTGCTGTCTGCAGAGTGCCTTTAATAACTGCAATTAAAAAAATTGTGTATGTCCTGTGTTGGATCTCAGTCCAGCCCAAAGGACATCCCACCTCACAAGGAGCCTCTTACCCCCATTGAGTTTTCTCTGCTCTCTCCTCACACCCTCCTCCAGGTTGCTGCTGTTCCTCTTCAGCTCTTTAGAGATGGCCCCGAGATTTTCTGATATGACACTCTGTAAAACAGAAATGCACTGCCTGGGAGTCTGAAGAGGAATTCCAGTCTCTGGCCCTCAGTTACCACAAAAATGCTCGTTCAGAGAACTGCAGTGGGGTGTGCTACTGGGGCGTGATGGGGAGACCCAAACCCCCAAGGGCAGCAGAGCCCTGCGTGTGTTGAAGGAGTTTGGTTTTTGCTCTTCTTCACAGGCTCGCCACATCACGCACCATCAAAGCCTCTCCAGCTGCTTCATCAGCATCGTGGGCCGCTCGCTCGGCTTTCCTCACAGCTTCAATGATGCTGGCGTAGGCATTGGAGGCGTCGATCGCCCGCTGGATGAAGCCATCCTGGTTTGTGCCTTGGATAATGCTGCGTTGGAAGATGAAGCCATCAAGTCCATGGAGATCACTCACACGGGGCTCTTGCCCACGCCCCCACATACAAACCCCTTTAGGTTGCTCATTGTGACAGGTTCTCCAGGCTCAAGCTTTGGAGACAGCACCCCACTGCTCCCCTGCCATGACGTACTGAGTGCCAGGACCAGGGCCTCACCTGGACAGGTTCCTCGCGAGCTCGTCCAGCAGCCGGGCGTGCTCCTCTGCCTGCTCCACGATGGGGATCTTGCTGCTGGCTGGGGAGAACTTCTTGACCCGGTCGGTCAGGGGCAGCTTGGCCCCATCCAGCAGAGCGGCCAGCTTCTCATACGCCTGTAGGGACACATGTCACTCCTGAGGGCTGCCACCCCTACGTGCTCTGCCCATGCCGACGGATCTCCATCACTCACCTCCTTTGCACGCTCCATCTTCTGCAGGAAGTCAGAGACCTGGGCCAAGGAGTCCTTGGCCATCCTCAGGGTCTCCTGCACCAGGCCGTGCTGTTTTTGGAGCTCACGGCTCTTTTGCTAGACACACAGGGGCAGGGTTAGGCACTGCCAGGCTCGGGGCAGGATGCCCCTCGCCGCACGGGCCCACCCGGTGAAGCTCTACCTGAGTCTCCTCCAGGTTGTTGCGGTTCAGGCTGTTCAGGTCCTCTGTCTGCCTGGTTTTGTTCACAGCCTCGTTGAGGGCATCACGCAGATCCATCAGCTGGGTGCTGTGCTGCGCCAGCCGCTCCCGGACGCTGCTCACCACGTCCTGGTTGGCCTGCCAGCGGGCATGCAGCTCGCTCCGCACCTGGTGCAGCACTGGGGATGGAGCAGAGGAGCTCAGAACTCTTGCTAATTCATCCTCCTGTGTTAGAGATCTCTCTCTGGGCTTGGCTACAGAAAAGCCTGGTTCTGGTCTGTCCTGGCAGGCACAAAGCCCAGATGTCACCGTCTTCCCTCTCTCCTTCCCTCTCCCCCTTTCAGCCTGGACAGCCCAGGATCTCATCCAAAATAGTCTCCAAAGCCCCAGTGCTGGTGAGAGGGACAGGATCTCTTTCAGAAAGATGACCATCCACCTCTGAAAGGCTCCAGATGAAGGCGAGACCCCGCCCACAGCCTGTTCCAGGGCTTGATTACTTCCATTGTGAAAAAACACTTATTTCTAGCACAGGCCAGTTGGTAATTCCAGCTCCCAGCAGCTGCACTCTGTTTTGCCACTGGCTGTTAATCAGAAGCAGTTGCTCCCCGCAGTGCCAGCGTGCCAGGTTATGCCACAGGGCTTTGTGCGGGAGCACAATCCAGGCCCTTGCTCCTCCTAGGGTGGCAGACCTGCTGAGGGTGGTGGGCTGACATTGTTGCTCTGGACCCCTTTCACATGGACCTGTTCACATCCACATGTGATGCATACATAATAATTATAATTCCTGGTTCCATGGGTCGTCATTTTTGGTCATCAAGTAGAACTAATCAGCTAGTACAACCTGCTCTAAAATTCACCGTAAGGGAAAAGGGGCCACAAATGGAGTGTCCCTAAAACTCCTGTAAAACTCATTGAGGGGGGCCTGTGTTATTAACAGCACTCTTCAAACGTGACCATGGTGTTCACAGGAGCTCCAAGCCAGGCTCTGAGGAAGAGCTGGACCCAGCAGGACCTGTGCAGGACCCTGTCCCACACCACTTCAGCCACTCACGCTTCTGAGCCTCCTCGTGCTCGCGCCTCGCCAGCTCCTCCTGGCTGCCCAGGCTCCGCTCCTTCATCTCCCTCAGCATTCTCTCCACCTCGGCCATCTTCTGCCGAAACTCCTCGGTGGAGGTGGTGGTGGTGTTTGCTGCCCCAAACCTGGCCATCTGCTGCACCAAGTCTGCAGAGAAATCCAGACCCCCTCTTAGCACTGACCGACCCAGCTCTTCCTTAATCCCCCGAGATCCTTCTCTCTTCCAGCACCCCCAATAACCTGCAGCCAGCTTTCAGGCAGTGCTCAGGCACCCAAACTGTTTGAGATCACTCAGAGATTGCCCCACGTTTGTCTCCCTGGCCATTGCAGTAACACATGCTACATCCCATGCACCTTTCTGTGGGTTCACCTCCTCTCCTAGATCGTCTCCCCTGTTTTGCTAAATCCCTCCTGAAGCAGTAGTGCAGACTGCCCTGGGTTTATGCATTTTAATAATGTTTGTGTGAGTTTAGTATGTTTTTTTCTCCCAAGATGGCATTCAGTCAAACAGCTGAGACTCACAATAAGCCTGGTCTCCCTGAAAAGTCAGAATTCTGCAGGGATCTCCATTTCATTTTTATTTCCCCTTGTTTTCTCCATTGCTCTAAGTGCTGCAGTACTTGGTGCTGTTTGGAAGCAAGAGCTTGGCCTTCCCAGCAGGCAAAAACCCACAAAGCAGAGACCCTTCTTGACATACCTGCAATGCCTCTCTGAATGCTCTGGATATTCTGCACGAGCTGCTCTCCCCTCTGGTAAGTCTCCCTCGTGTGCTGCTCAATCTGGTTCACTTCTCTGTGAGTCATTGTCATCTACAACAAAACCCACTGGCTTAGGTGAAGTGCAAGATTGTTTTATGTGATCCATCAGCAGGAAAGATGTCTCCAAAAGGCACATAAGGCTTGGGAATGTGCAGATTTTGAGGTCCTTGAACCATGTCTCCTGCAACAGCCTGACCTGTGCTGCTCACCTATGAGGCATTCAGTGATAGTCTTACTTAGCACCTTCAGAGAAGCACAAGCAATAAATAAATCAAATGATAGATCTATGATACTGACAAACCATGATAAATCTGATCCTATGATTCTAAATCAAATCACATCTTGCTCAGTCTCTTCAGTTCTCTGATGACACAACTGATGCTTTTTAGACTGTGAGTAGAATACACCTTGTAAAAGGTGTTGCTGTACTGAAGCCTATAAGGACTATTTCAATTAAAAAAAAAGGGTCAACTTATTTTCTGACAGGGCCCAGGATCTCCCTGCCACAGCATGGACACATCCAGGATGGACATGGATATTTATGTTCCTTGTAGGCTTCTTCTATTAATGGCACTTTAATTCCATTTGTTTTTACTGATTAAAGCTGGAGCTGCCTCAAAAACAAGCAATAAATCGAGAAACAACCATCAGTATCACAAGATGTTTAACAGTCCCTCAAGGGAGGAATGAAGGTAATCTAGGTTGAGCATCCAAGTAAGAGATCCTGAGTCCCAAGCCTAGTGCTGGCTGGGCAGGAGACCCATCCTGCCTGAACCAGGCTCCTCACAGCCTTCAAAGCCTCACTGTAGGTAGAAGGAGGGGTTTGTGCTCTGGAAAAGGAAGATAGAGAAACACCCTACCTTGTGCTGCAGGGCATTCAGGTCTTGTGTGAGGTCCACATTCTCATCCTCCAGCTCGTCAGCCCTTTGCCTGACCTTGTTCATGGCTCTCTGGTACTCACGCAGCTGGTTCTGGGGTGGGGGGGAGGGGGGGAAAAAGACAAATCAGGCCAACAAGCCAAGAAATGTGGTCAGGAAGAGCTGTGAAACCTTCCACGTACAGCGACGGTCGCCAGAGTGCCGTTGAGAGCGTGGAGGCGAGCCCAGGCGATGGAGCTGGCGCTGAGGTTGAGGAGCTGGCTGTGGAGGGGGGGGGAAGATGGCTGTGGAGTGAGGTGAATGACTCCTGGATGCCATGCAGGTCCTCCAGCAGCAGCAGGACGCAGCTGTCACACACTGCAGGGGAGGGGAGCGCTCAGCACCGCTCGGCACCGCGCCCTCCCAGCCCCCTCCCCTGGCTGCCCGAGCCCCCTGGGACACTGACCTTCACAGCGGACGCTGTCGGGGCCGTTGGCCACAGGGATCTGGTGGTGGTGGGCGCAGACGTCGCACTGCTTCCCCGTCAGCCCCGCGGAGCACGTGCACTCCCCTGAGCGCGGGTCGCAGGAGCCCCCTCTGCACTCGCACTCTGCCCAGCCAAGCAGAGGGAAATGCCCGTGGCAGCCTCACCAGCCACTCCCACCCCCAAGAGAGGGGAGGGAACGGTTCTGTGCCTGCTGCACAATCGCATCTCTGCTTATTTCTGTTCAGCCTGGGGGGGAAAAGGCTCCACGGACACCTTCTGGTGGTCTTCTAGTACGTGGAGGGGCCTATAGGGAAGCTGGGCAAGGACTGCTGACACGGGTGTGTAGTGATAGGACAAGGGGCGATGGTTTTAAACTACAGCAGGTTAGATTCAGGGTAGACATTAGAAGAAGTTCTTTACTATGAGGGTTGTGAAACACTGGGACAGGCTGCCCGGAGAGGTGGTAGAAGCCCCATCTCTGGAGACATTCAAGATCAGGCTTGATGGGACTCTGAGCAACCTGATCTAGCTGTAGCTGTCTCAGCAAACTGCAGGAGGGTTGGACCCTCCTTTGAAAGTCCCCTTCCAACCCAGAGCACCGTGTGACCATCTACATGCCACTGCTGGAGGTTTCCCTGCACCACCCATCAATAGGCACAGCCCCTCAGAGAGCAGCCTCTTGCTCTCCACCTTCAACACTCCCAGAA